TATATTTCAGGCTCCTGCCTCACCCCTTCCTCCCCGCCCACCGACCCAGCTCAAGGGCCAAGTGCCTCTTTGTTTTCACAAAAGTTAGTCAGAAAAGGGGAACAGCTAGGGGCTCAAAGAACTGGGGGCTCAGGGAGTAGACGGGGCTCTGGGAGCATCTGTGGCCAAGCAGGTACCTAGGATTCGGGAGAAGCTGGGGCTCAGGAAGTGTCTGAAGCTGGGAGTGCGTCTTGGGTGAAAAGTATCTGGACACTCAGAGAGTATCTGGCTGTCCAAGGAGCAGCTGGAGTACAATGGACCAAGGAATGGCAGGGGTTCAGGGACTCCCTGGGGGTTCAGGGGATGGCCGGGATTCAGGGACTACCTGGGGGTTCAGGGACTACTTGGGGGTTCAGGGGACAGCCAGGTTCAGGGACTCCCTGGGGGTACAGGGCATGCCTGGGGTCAGGAGCAGTCGGGGCAGGGGAGAATCTGAGACAGTAAAGGGAATGACCTGCAGCAGCTGCTTTAAGCACTGTGGGCGCCCATATTTGGCGGCCAGATGGAGGGCATTGTAACCTGAAAGGGAGAGAGAATTTGCTAGGGCCCGGACATTCGAGGAGCTCTCTGGCTGCCCCGCAACCTGCGTCAGCTGTTTGTGATGACTCAGCTTCCCTGTGTCTAGAAAGTCCCCAAATCCAGGTACTGCCTCGAGCCATGCTACCCTGTGGCCGGGGACTCATCGAGCCCCAGCTCGTCTGTGCTCCTCCAGCCTACCGCCTGGCTACTCCCCCATTCCCAGCTACTCTCCACATCCCCACTACTCCCTCCATGCCCAGCTACTCCCCACACCCCCAGCTACTCCACGTGCTCAGCCACGTTGAAGCACCAGACATGCCCCTCAGAATGCACAGTTGTTCTCCGTCCCGGCTCAGCCACAGTCCCCCATTACTCCAGGTGCCGGCTGCATCCCCATCGCCGATCCTCTGCAAACCCCCAGCTACGCCACATCCCTGGCTGTCACGCCTGTGCCCAAAGCTTCGGACCTGACTATGCCCAGGCCCGGTTACGCCCCGAGCCTGCTTCCTTTGGCCATGCGTTCCAGCTCAGTTATCCCCCGGTTCCCTAGTTAAGTCATCTACCCAGATTCCCCTTCTGTCCTAGCCACTCCCAGAGATCCAGCTACGGCTAGACCCCAGCTACTCCGCATACTCCCCTCAAACTCATTATCCTCATGCCCCCAGATACTTCTCGAGCTCACCTACTCCTCTGACTCAATCACTACCTGAGTCCCGGCTACTCTTCATCCACGAGTTGACTCACCTTGCTTGGGGCCAGCCACGATCCCTGTCCTTGGTCACTGAAGTGTGACATGCCCCTGTGCCTCCCTGGGGGCACTGAAAAGAACCCCCCTTTTTCAGAAGGACACTGAGGCCACGAAGCAGGGCCTGGCTGGACCCTCGGGCTGGGCACCTGAGTTTCTCCCCCTCGCCCCCCGGGGCCCGGCGGGCAGTACCTGCCCCGTCTGTGCTCATGACGTTGGCTCCATGTGCCAGCATCACCTCCAGACAGCTGGCGGCCCCCCTCATGGCCGCCAGGTGAAATCTGGAGGACAGAGGTGAGAGGTCAGCGGCGGGGTAGCCAGCCCTCAGCCATCACCCCGTCCAGGCCGTGGGCACTCACGCGGACTTGCCCTCGGGGTCCAGCTTGGTGGGCACCAACCCCTTGCGGACGATGAGGGAGGCCACCCGGGCAGCGTCATTGTTCTCCACGGCTTGCAGCAACCGCTCGTCACTTTTGCCCCAGTCCTGGCTCTGCGGGGCACATCCAGAGGACCGTGGGACTGGCGGCCACTGACCCCTCCCCGCCCGCCCTGGCAAGGGCTCTGGGCTCTCACCCCCGCCCCTGGCACTTGCCTGGTGCCTGCCTCTGGCTGCAGGCTTCGGGAGGGGGCAGGGGCCGCAGGGTGGGCAGGAGCCGAGGTCAGTGGGGCTGAGCCGCAGCTGTAGGGGGAGGTGGTCCTGGGCGGGGGCCTGAGACAGTGTCCCCCAAGCCGGTGCCCCGTAACATCTGCCCCCAGGCCCATTGCCCCAACTGTCCATCCAACACCCAATGTCAGCATCCTCCAATTAAACCATTCCAAATCAGCCCCAGCATCTTTCCAAAAGCCGTCCCATACCTAGGCTCCCAGCCTGCCCCTTAGCGAACGGCCACCCTTCCATCACCCCATCAAACTGACCGGCATGTCTTTCCGAACTACCCTCAGAAGTCTTCCGGTAGGAACCCCTGAAGTGTCCCTTTAAATGCTCCTCAGAACTGTCCTCTGCCATCTAGCCTACCGCTGGCCCTAAAGTGCCACAATTGTCCCCTAAATGTCTGCCAGGATCTGTTTGCCAAAACCATAGCCTGAATGCGTTCCAAAATGTCCTCCCCAAGGTCCCGACGTGTTCTCCAAAATCATCCCCCTAAATGATCCCATCATTGGTCCCAAAAATGTCCTCCCCGCAAAATCCTCAAATGTCCTCCAAAATTGTTCTCCAAATGTCAATATCTTTTCCCAAAAATGGTCTCCCAAAATAGCATCCAAATTGTCCCCCCAAATGACTTCATCCAAAACTGTCCCTCCAAATGCCCTCTCAATTCTCCTAAGTGTCCCCATCTGTCCTCAAAGTCCCCATCTGTCTCCCCAAATGCCCCATCCATCCCCCTACCTCTGTCCCCTCTCTGCTCACCCTTCCCGGTTTGGGGGTGGGGGTGTCCTGGCCCAGCACGGTCAGGGGGCGGGGAGGGGCGGGGCGGGGAGAGGAGGGTGGGGACGGAGCCCCGCCCGCTCCCGCGCCCCCTCCCCTGGCCCTACCGCGAAAGATGTGGCAGCGCACAGACACAGCTGCTTCATGGCGTCCACGGCACCGGGCAGCCTGGCTCCGGGCGGTGATCGGCCGGAGGGGTCGAGGGGAGGGGCCGGCGCTGCCGGAGCTCGGCCGTCCCGCCCGCTCGGTGGTGCCAAAGCCCGCCCCTCCCCCACTCCCGGTGGCCCCTCCCTCACGGTGCGGGGAGAGCACGGGAGGAATCTGGGGGAGGGGAAGGGGTGCCGCCCTGGCCAGACCTAACCCGGTGGCCCTGAGGAGGAGGTGGCAAAGCGGCCCTGGCTCCCTCGCCCCCGCAGACTGCCCACCGGATCTCCACGCACCCGCCTTCCTGGTCCGCCTTCCTGCGTGGTCCCCACCTCCTGGGAGCTGGCTGGGGGGACACAGGTGACTGGGGCCTGCGCCCCTGGCAGACGGCCTGACACTGCCTCCTTGCCAAACTGTCTCACTCGCTCCTCAGTCGCTGCTCACACACTCACTGCCCCATTCATTCACTCATTCGTCTCTCATTCATTCATTTACTGAACTGCCAGTGGGCATCTCTCATTCATTCATTTACTGAACTGCCAGTGGGCTCTACAGTCCCGCACACCGGAATTTAAACCTAGGGCCTCGCTCTCCCGGCCCCAGCTTGTCCCACCTTTGCGACAGCCGAGATCCTCGCCTGCTTTGAGCTTCACTTTCCTCATTCGGGAAAGAGGTTTCCTAACAGCAGCTGCTGCAGGGGGCTCCTGGGGGACCACACGAGGTACTACGTGCGAAGCACGGGGCACAGTGGCCGGCACACAGGAAGTGTGCCCCAAGTGTGGCTTCGCTCACCACAGAAAGACGTGGTTGGGCCTGTGGCATACCTAGTGCCGAATTTGGGGACGTAGGATGTACTAGATGCTCAGTTAAACCACTGAGAGAGGACACAGCCTTCAGCCCTCACCCCAAGGGGCTGGCTTGTCCAGGGAGGAGGCTGAAACAGATCTCTGGGCTCAGGCCCCGAGGGTCCCACTGCCCTTGACCTGTCCTGGGTACTACCCCAGCTCGGACACCCCGTGAAGCCCCGGCAGTGTGCCGTGGGTGCCACCAGCCCCCCAGGGGCTCAAGCCAAGATTCAGCATCATCTGACCCCTGTCTCTCACCCCACACCCAGTCCACTGGCTGGACACTCATCCAGGTCCAGCCCTTCTCGCCATGGTCCAGCCCCGTCACTGAGGACTTCTCTGGGGGACACCTCTTCTCCCGTCTCCTGGTTTCTGCCCTTACCCCCTTTGTCCTCCATCCTTTATCAGACCCTCTCTCTCTCCTGCTCAAAAGCCTCCAGTGACCTCACTCAGCACGACATGCTGACTGCTCACGAGGCCCAGGTCCCCTGCAGCTGGGGATCACCCCTGCCTGGGTCTGTCTGGCTCATGAGCTCAGCGTGAGTTTCACACTTATGAGTGATGGGGGGTAAAAAATCAAAAGAATAATAATATTTCGTGACACACGCAAATCGTGTGAAATTCGCACTTTGGTGTCCATAGTGAAGCTTTACGGATGGAGCCACATCCATTTACAGACGGCCGCCCCCAAGCTGTGAGGTCAGAATTGACCGCAGGCCCTGGAAGCCAGAAACTTTACGTCTGGCCCTTCCCAGGAGGAACGCACCTCCCCCTGCTGTGAGTGGTCCCCGTCAACCCCCTGGGCGCATTGCCCCCAAATTTCGCCGGCCCAATCCGACTGGTCGCAGTGGCCTCCTGTCTGTCTTCAGACAGCTCCGTCCCTGCTCTGAGCCTCTGTGCCGCCGGCGTCCACCTGGCTGATCACTGCTGCCGGCGCCGGAACCGCCCCTTCGACCCCCGCGCCACCCCCGACCCCTCAGCAGCATTTATTTCTCTTCTGTTGCTCTTATCTGACGTCACACGTGTACCTTTCTGAAAATATTGTTCCTTCTTGGTCCCTCTCCTAGAATGTTACCGCTACGCGGGCAGGGATTTGGGTCCATCTCGATCACTGCTGTATCCCCAGCAGGTATGGGGGTGGGGTGGGGTGGGGTGGGGGTGGGGGATTAGACAGGGTCCAGTTACAAAATGGAAATGCGGGGGCCCTCGTTCAAAAAGTATTAAGAATGAGAACAGTGTTAAATTAAACGAGTACCTACGACATGGCCTGGCACACAGTAGGTCCTCAATAAATGTCTGTCGAACAAATTAAAGAAATGGTTGACTCTGGAAAATAAATGAGAGGTGGGAAGGAGGGAATGGGAGAGGGATGCAAAGACTTTCCGGAGCTCTAAAAACCCCAATCTTCTCGGGAGGCTGGGCTCACCGCCCCAGTGAACTCCCATTTGTCGGATGTGAACACTGAGGGCCCTGGAACAAGAATGGAGACTGGCTGGCCTTGCAGGAAAGGCCGGGACGGGAGCGGCGGAGCGGGCAGCGCACAGCGGCGGGAGCGGGGGGCCCGGGCCACGGAGCAGGGCGAGGGTAACAAAGGTCTGCAGAGCCCCAGGCGGGGCCGCTGCCGCCACGGTGTTCGCTTTCTTCCCTCGGGGAGCTGAACAAAAGCTGAACCTGACTCCCGCTGCGTGGAGAAACCGGAGCCGAGCCGTCAGGTGGGGGCAGAGACGGCAGATGCCCGGTGTCTGTGTTGGGGGGGTGCGGAGGACAAGCTGTCCCCCCTCCGCCCCCGGGCCTCCCAGCTGCTGCGGCGGGCTCCAGCCTGGCCGGCCCACCACAGGCTCCTCCCACGAGGAGCAAATTGTCCCCGCCCCACGCCAGACACGCCCAGTGGCCCTATGCCCAGTCTGACATTTTAATGCCCAGTCTGACGTTTTAATGCCTGTCGGGACCCCTCTACGACCCCCACCCCCTGACTTTATGCCGCCACCCTGCAAAACACAGCCATGCCTAGAATTAGAAGCCTTTTTTTTTTTAGCTACACAAAACTTTTTGAAAGATTTGATTTCGATACAATTCTGCTTTTGAGACGATCATTTGGTTTGGCTTACCACCAGCGACAACTTGTCGGAAATTCTTGGGGGGGCTAATGCGAAAAATCTAAGTCAGAGCTTGATTTCCAACTGGAGAAGAAACGTTAGGGTCATTCCACAGCGAATGTCACGTTCTGTCCGAGATGCGTGAGCCATTTATTCCTCTCTCTCTCTCTCTCTCTCTCTCTCTTCTTTTCAATCAAATAAAAGGCCAAATCCTGTTCACAGCAGCACAGCCCTGGGAGAAGTCTGGTGTCTCACTTTTAAGCTGTGTGCCCTTGGGCAAATTCCTTAACCTCTCTGGGCCTCCGTTCCTCATGGATAAGGCGGGATAATGAAAGCTAGCACCTCACAGATTGTTAACAGAATTAATCCCATTAGCATCTCCAAAGCACAAATCAAAACAGAAATAAAAATAAAAATGAATTCGATAACATTCGATTTACAAATTAAGATAAATTTGAAAATGAAAAGGAATGTTAAAATCGATAAATAACAAAAATACATAAAATAAATTGGGAAAACTGAGGGAGCCCACAGAACGGGTGGCAGCAGACCCAAAGTCACCCAGCTTGTGTGGGACGGGGTTCAAACCCAGAGGCACCTGACTTTAAAACAGGGCTTGTGGCCCTGCCCCCGTCTGTGGCTTTAAAGGGCTCCTTGGGCGGGGGCCTCTCTGCCCTCAGCTCCCCGTCAGGTGCTCTCTGTGCCTGTCAAAAAAACCCGCTTATCATCCCATATGCCCGTGAATCAACCAGGCCTGGCCCGGCCTCCACGTGGGCCTTTGCCCACACCGGTCTCTGACCCTGTCCCGTGTGCCCCGCTTATCTAAGTCGTCCTGGTCCAGCAGTGCAGCCTTCAGGTAGCCTCTTCCATTGCCCTGGGCTACGCCTGCCTCATGGGAGGCCCTGTCACCTGGCAAGAGTCTAAGGGCTTTGCAGTTAGGCACAGGCGGGGTTCAATGTCTCTGCTGCCACTTTGCTCTGTGAAGGGGAGTTAACCGGTCTGGACCTTGGTGTCTACGTGCCGGAAGTGTGAAGTCGAGCCTCACCGAGGCCAGCACAGCAAAGGGGCACTACGACTCTACATGCAAACCCTCACTTGGGTCTCTTCATCGGCACCTGGACCGGCCACCACACGGCAGGAACTCGGGGGGCCAGGAGGGAGTGGAAATGACTGGCGAAGGAGTGTCCGAGATATAGCTGCAAGGGAAGCCAGGCTCAGCCCGTCTCGGGACCTTTGCACGGGCTGTTCCCTCCGCCCGGAATGCACTTCCTTCCAATAAACACACAAGTCCCTCCCTCTTCCCTTTCTGATCTTTGCTCTAACGTCAGCTTCTTGGCGACGTCTTTGCCAACGACCTGCTTTAAAACTGCAGCCATCTTCCCGGACATTCCAACTCCCTTCCCTGCTTCGTCTCCGTGGAACAAAACACACCTTTCACTCGTTCACCTTGTCTAGTGTCCATCTCTCCACCCGCCTGCCAGCTCCGGAGCGCAGAGATCTCTGTCTGCCCTATTCGCTCTTTGCTCTGTGCCTAGAACAGTGCCTGATACGAATGTTTGCCGAACAATTAGTCGAAAGTAAGAGATCGGGGTCCTCGAGAAAGTGAGTCCTCAGAAAAGCGAGTGGTCGCTGTAGCTGGGGAGAGGAGAGATTTTTCTGGAAGTAGTGTACCTGGAGCCAAATTGGGAGGAATGGGGAAGGTCTGATAAGCAGCGACACAGAGAGAGGGCATTCCAGGTGGAGGGAGGAGCCTGGGCTAAGGGATGGTGGCCGGATAACTTGAACAAGAAGTGGAGGGGACATCATGGCAGCAGGGGCCAGCAGAGAGGAAAGTATGGAGAAGGTGGCCAGAGGAGGCTAAAGGGATAAACTTGAACCTGTGGGCGGTGAGGAACCAGAGAAGAGTTTTGAACAGGGAAGGCCCTGGTCACATGGCAGCTTCCAAATGAATCTGATGGGCAAGTGACAATGGCCCAAGGCCCAGTAGTTCCTCAGCCAGGCCCTGGGGGACAGGAAGCCAAGGCCGGGGGACACTGGGCATCTCGGTGGCCTCAGACTCACCTCTGTCTTCTTAAATCGTGCCCGGAGAGTCTTCATGGCCAGTGTCCGGTGTTTGTCCTCAACCCACGCCACCTGGGAAAGGGCAAGGGGTGAGGGACATCAGTCCTGGTGCGAGAAGGTCGGCTCCCCCCACCCCAAAAGGACCACTTCCTCCTCCCTGGGCCATCCCAGCCCCTAGGGCAGGATGGACACCTTCCTGCCCCATCTCCTAACTGCTGTGTGTCCCTCAGCAGGTCACTTGCCCTCTCTGAGTTTCACGTTCCTTCATCCTTAAAATGAGGAAGATAATCCCCTCTTGACCAACTCATGGTCAGTTTTCAGTGAGGTTCCTGGCATAGGGCCAGCAAACAGTAGGTGCTCAATAATGCACCTCACCAGTATTCCCTGTGGCCCAAGCAGATCAAGCTTTTTCTGGCTTCCAAGCTTTTACCTGTGCAGTTATTTCTACCTAGAAATTTCTACCTGCCTTGCTTTTCCCCCTTCTCTGGTGAACTCCTATTCATCCTATACAGCCCAGTTCCAAAATCCCGTGATCTGATCAGCTCTGCCTCTCACCAGTCGTCAAATCTCTAACTCCTCAGGTCGAGTTTCCCCAGTCCTGGCTCCACAAGCTACAGGTGTCTGGACTGGTTCTATCTTCCTGAACAGTTAGGGGATCCTAGGGGGCCAGGCCCAGAGCTGAGGCGCTTAGCACAGAGGCACGCTTCTTGGATAGCCAGAGAGAACATCCTTGCAGCTAAGTCCCCGTATACCAGCCTGGCTTCCGCCTGCATAAGAGCATGAAGAGGAATCACCCAGGGCAGGTGGAGGCCTGGGGTGATAGTTGTGTGCATCCTGTACACACGCAAGCACGAGGGGTGTGTGTGCATGCGTGTCTGTGCACCTCGGCCTGTTCCATGTTTCATGCGTGTGCAGGTATGGAGATCAGGAAGGGGTATCTCGAGGGCATGTTTTGCTAGGTGTGTGGCTAGGCATTTCTTCCTATGTCTGAGCAGGATTTCTGTAAAGGCGTGTTCTTCACTTGTCCTTCTGCCCATGACTTCTGCAAGCCACCCTTCCGTCTATCTACTCACTCAATCTATTCCCCTGTGCATTCGACTTCCTACCCGAGCACTGGTACATCCACCCACCAACTCATCTTCTCACGGTCCTTCCTGCACCTTTCGACCAGGCCTCATTCACCACCCAACCACCGTCCACCTCCCACCCACCCATCCACTCTTAACCTACTCTCCGCTGACTTATTGATTCACCATCCATTCATCCACTCCTCCATCCAACCTCCCATCCATTCGCTCTCCTATCTACCCACTCATCCGTCCATCCATTCACACCTTCGATTCGCCCCATTCACTCCACGTACTCCTCGGCTCACCACCCAGCTCACCCTTTTCCTTCACCCCTGTCTAAAGGACTCAGTCACACCCAGAGCAGAGTGTAATGAGAAGTCCACAGGTTGCCTGGGGCGGAGGGAATCCCTGGGCTCAGGGGAGGGGGAAGTGCCCTCATCTAGGCAGGAAGCTGCTTCGAGGAAGAGGTGATGATACTTAAGCAGAGTCTGAAGGCCAGGTAAGATACTGAGCAGTAGCAGGAAGAGGAAGTACATACCTAGACTAGAGCAAGGCGGGGAAGTGTGAAATGAGCGCCCGAACCAGTGTGTGTGTGTGTGTGTGTGTGTGTCAGGGTGCCTGGGAGGCTCCTCAGCGTGGCTGGGACACACACCGGTTTCTCCTTTCTCCCACACACCAGGGCTCAGGTACAAGTTGCCCCAGGCCCTAAGGAGAGCCACCATCCCAAGCCTCCCTCCCCTCCTTCCTCTCCTACCTCCTGCAGCTCCAGTGACTCCAGCCCCAGGCCACCGTGTTCACTGCTGGCTCCGGTTACCCGCTCCCGGCTGGGCCACCAGCTTGTACCAGCAGTTCCGTGTGCTCAGCTCGGACACCCGATCGGCTCTGAGCGGGCGGCTGCCCCAGGGGGCCGGGGATGAGTGGAGGGAGGAGACAGGTTGGCAGCGGGGCTGCCTGTTGGCCACAGGGCTCCGGCGGGAAGAGGCCACCGTACTTCCCCATCATCGCTGGACTGATTTCAGTTGCTGGAATGAGCCGCCCTCTCCCTCTCCTTCTCCCTCCGGCCTTTGCACTTGCTGTTCGCTGGGCCAGGCGCAGTCTCTCTGTACCCCACGTCACGCCCAACTTGCTCTCTCAGTCCATCTCACTCCTACTCGCTCTTCAGATCTTTGCTACAACGTCCTCTCCTCCAGGAAGCCCTTCTGGATGTCCCCAGGCTGGGTCAAGTGCCTCCCCTGAGCTCCCTCATTGCCCCGAGCCGTCACTGCGCCTCAGTCACACCAAGTCACCACTGTCCAGTCACCGGCTTGTGTCCATGATTGGCCACAAGGTGACACCCATTCTCCAGTGTCTCCTCAGCACACAATAGGTGCTCAACACACGTTCCTTCAATAAGTCCTAAAAGCCCCATGACCTTAAGCGGTTTCTCTAGTCTCCTGGTGCGTGGAGATTTCCATCCACCTGAATAACATTCAGGTGACTTAAGAGTGGCGTCCAAGATGCTCCCTAGTGAGACCCCAAGCTGCTCACCGCCACAGGTACCCCGTACTCGTGACTTTACAAACTTCTGAAATGTGCAATGCAAACAATCTTGGACTCGAAGCCCGAGTCCTGGGTCCCTTCTCTCTGACTTTATCCTTTTGGGGGCGGTGAAGGTGCAGCATCGGTTTACTAATTTGTAAAAAGGGGGAATGGCTTGCGTCGCTCATTTTGGACGCGGGTGGAAAACTCTCACGCAGACGGCCGCCCGGCTTCCCGCCCGGGTCACTGCCCCTTTCCCACTTCACGCGAGTTTTTTGAAGACCGTCGAGTTCTTTTACCAGCAGTTAAGATGGCGCCTGCGGCGTCAACATGAGGCGGCGCATGCGCCTTGGGGGGTAGAGGCTGGGCGGCTCCTCCTTCCTCCCCGTCCCGCCCCGTTTCCGGCGGAAGTGGCCTCAACAAGGGAAACTTTATTGTTCCCGTTGCAGTGGCGAGAATGTCGGTGAATTACGCGGCGGGGCTGTCGCCGTACGCAGACAAGGGCAAGTGCGGTCTCCCCGAGGTGAGAGCGGCCGGGGGTCCGCAGGCCGCCCCCTCCGGGCGGTGGGCCGGGCGGGGCCAGGCGGCAGCGGGGCATTGTGGGAATATCAGGAGTCCCCGAGGCTAGACAATGGGAGGGACTTCCCCGTGAGGAGGGGGCGGGAAGTGACGCCCCCAGCGCGCCCGGGGACTCGAGCACTCCGCGCCCCGGGTCCGCGGGGCTGACACCGAGGCAGGGGCCGCCGTGGGCAGGTCCCGAAGCTCCGGCAGGGGGCAGGGGCTGTAGTTCTAGAAGGAAGGGGCAAAGGCAGGGAGATGGGTACAGATTAGGCCAGAGGGTTTCCAGAGTCAGGCCAGGATGGGCCCCAAATGCCAGCCTGAGGAGTTGACACTTTAACCTGAGGGTGATGGAAACAGGTTTTGAGCTGGGGAGGAACCCTGATGGATGTATGTGTCAGAAGGACCCCGCCAGCTGCTCCGAGAGGAAGTCCCCTCCATACATTGAGTTCTTGGGTTTGTCACTCCCCTTCTGCGTCTCTTCTCCCCTTCCGTAAACTGGGGGGAAGCTTGCCCCCATCCCGTGACGGCTAGTCCGTTCATTCTGATGCAGGCAGTTACGGAGCTCACAGATGGCGTGAACCCTCCCGAAGCCCCACTCCTCTCTCGCCTGTATTCACTTTATTCCACAAATGTTTATTGAGCACCTACTGTGCACCAGGCACTTTCTGTGGTCCTGGGGCCACAGCAGGGAACAAAGACAAAACTCCTTCGTTCCAATGGGGAGACAGAGAAGCAGCAAATAAATATAAGTGAGATGGGGGGAAAGTAAAGCTGGCAATGATGAAGAGAGCTGGGGGCTGCATGAAACCAGATGGTCAGAGAGGCATCGCTGAGATGGCTTTTTCCATGTTTTCTACTATAAAATACACCTTTCATAAAATGTATCGCCTTAACCATTTTTAAGTGTGCATTAAGTATATCCACGTTGTGCAACCATCCCTACCATCTCCAGAACTTTCTCATCGTCTCAAATTGAAACTCTGTCCCCATTAAACACTCACTCCCCTCCCTCTCTCCCCGACCCTGGCCCCACCATCTAACTTCTGTATTTATGGATCTAACTCCTCTAGGGACCTCATAAGTGGAATCACGCAGTATTTGTCCTTTTGCGTTGGGCTTATTTCGCTCAGCGCAGTGTCCTCAAGGTTCATCCACGTTGTAGCATGTGTCAGAGTTTCTTGCCTTCAGGCTGAATAATACCCCAGTGCCTGGACGTTTATGCATTCATCCATCGATGGACACTTGGGTTGCTTCCATGGTTTTAGCTATTGCGAATAATGCCGCTATGAACCTGGGTGTGCAAATGAGGTGACTTTTGAGCCAAGACCTAAAGGAGGGGAGGGTGGGGGTGTCTGGGGAAAGGGTGTTGTAGGCAGTGGGCCTCGGAGAGGACTTGGGCTTTCACCCCGAGGAAGGGGGTGCCCTGGAGAGCCATGGGCAGAGGAGGGGCGTGACAGATCCACTCTTCACCCCCCGGCAAGGCAGGGGCAGCTCATCTGTGGCTGGTGGCCTTGCCACCGTGGGACACGCTTTGACCACTCCCCTCTGCTCTCTCACACGACAGATCTTTGACACCCCCGAGGAGCTGGAGCGGAAAGTGTGGGAGCTGGCGAAGCTGGTCTGGCAGTCCTCCAACGTGGTGTTCCACACGGGCGCCGGCATCAGCACCGCCTCAGGCATCCCCGACTTCAGGTCTGTGGACGTGGAGGGGGATCAAGGCAGGGCCCGCTAGCTGCCAAGGGTTTCCCGGTGAGCTACAGGTGCCCGGGCATCGCAACCCATCCTGCTGACCCCCCCGCAGGGCCCTGAGTGATCTTTCCAGCCCCTGGGTGTTGGGGACGGGAAAGACCGCCCCCCCACTGTCAGATTTGTTCCTTTAAGTCACACCCAACATTCCATTCACTCCCATTGGCCAAAACTTGGTCACCTGATCATACTTACTACAAGGGGTGCTGGGAAATGCAGTCTTTCATCTAGGCTCACTGTGCATGCCTAAATGTTGGGGTACTAATACCCTAGAAGATGAGGAGAATCAATATCAGGGACAATTAGCCCTACACGCACTTGAAAATATTTTTCTGTTAAGCCCAGAGGCTTATTGCTCTGGACATCAGTTTCCTCACCCGTAAATGAGGGTGTGAAACCAGTTAATGTCTAAACCCCTCTCTGATTCAGGCAGACTACATGACAAGAATCTTGTAGCTGGAAAGCAGGGGTCTCAAACCGGTGTCCCTTGGGTGGCCTCTGTAGGTGCTGAGTTTGCAACCTTTCCCCAAAGGACAAGCCTGTTGCATTTGTACTCTTCTTCCAAGGCCTCTGGGGCCCCCAGCCCAGGCTCTCGGAGCAGGAGAGCAGCTTCCTTGGAAGAATGTTAGAATTCTAAGGTGTGAATCCCCCCGCCCCTCCTCCACGACCTACCATAGCTCCCGGTTGCCACTCAGGAGCGTTCCAAGCCCTCCCCGACTCAGCCCTGGGTCATCTCTCCAGCCTCCACGCCTCTCGCCCCCGCCGCAGCCCCCAGACCGCTTGCATTTCCCCAGACTTACAGGGCGGCCAGCCGCTCGGGCCTCCGCTTACCCCTTCTGCCTGAACTGCCGCGCCTTTCCCTGTCACAGTTCGGGAGACAGCTTGGCCTCCTCCAGGAAGCCGTCCCACACTCCCCCACAGGGCCCTCACCACCTCCACTGGGCCGTCCCAGCTCCCAGGGCCGGAGGTTCTGTGTCCACCGGCATTTCCCCGACAGGATCAAGGACGCCTCGGGGGCAGGGCCCGGGCCCACCAGGACCCCAGCTCGCCCAGCACAGGGCCGGGCTCGGCGCAGCAGAAGTGTAGCGTGTGCCCCGGGCTGCCGTGTTCTCGCTTCCCTCCCTCCCTCCCTCCGTTTCCTCCCTCTCTCTCTCCCCCTCTTCCTCGTCCCCTCTTACTCGGCCTCACTCTCTCCCGCCTTTCTCTCCTTCTGTCTCCAGTTCTCTGTCGCCCTCTTTCCCCTGATTCCTAAACTTCGTCTCTTTGTCTCTGCCTCTCTCCCCACCTGCCGCCTTCAGGGGCCCCCATGGCGTCTGGACGATGGAGGAGCGGGGCCTGGCCCCCAAGTTCGACACCACCTTCGAGAACGCTCGGCCCACACAGACCCACATGGCGCTGGTTCAGCTGGAGCGTGTGGGCCTGCTCCACTTCCTGGTCAGCCAGAACGTGGACGGGCTGCACATGCGCTCCGGCTTCCCCAGGTAACGCCCGGCTGCCCGCCGCCTGGGCCTGGGCCTCAGCCTCGGCCTGGCCGCGCCTCCCTCTGGGCCTCGGTTCCGTCATTCGTGAGGTGGGCTCGAGAGGCCGATGTGGCGATTCAGCGAGGCGGCCGGGAAAGGCACGTGGCGCTTCGTAGGACTTCCCAACCCAGAGCTGCCATTGTCAGTGCCTCCTGGGCACATCTCAAGAATTGGGGTCCTCTCTTCCCGGTCCCGGGGTGGCCGCGAAGTCTCCCCTGAGGAGGGGAGGAGAAGAAATGGGGAGCGGGGGCCGCATTTTAGTTCCTCTTCATTGCTCTCCCGCTGCACGTGAACCGGGACCCGGGCAGAAAGACTGGTTCCTGAGCACCAGCTGCACTGCTCTCTCCGCCACCGTCCCCGGTCCTCCCCCGGGGGACAGGCGAGAGCCTGGTCAGTTGCCCGTACAAGCAGCTGGGCCCCACAGGCGAGGGACGAGGCAAAGCCCTTGCCTCCAAGCAGCCATCCCTGTGGCTGTCCCCTATAGCCGTCCCCACAGCTGTCCCCTGCCTCTGTCCCCACGGCCGTCCCCTGCAGCCGTCCCCGCTCCTGTGAAGGGCCTGAGCCCCGATCCAGCGCTTGGGCGGGGCATAAAGTCTCGCCAGGCGCCGTCCTGGGCCTTTGTCCACATCAACACATAAATACCCGAGGAACTGTGGCCCCCGGTGACCCTCGGGCCCTGCTCGGGGCTGTGACCTCAGCATCTCCCCCTCTCTACAACCAGAGTGGTTCGCCGACAGGCCACCGCAGACCTAGCCCGTAGGGCCTGTGTGGACACTTCTAGAAATCAAAGCAAATGTTTTCTCACTGTGCAGCAAGAACATTTCCATGGGACAGGGGGTTAGGGCTTCTTATGGGGACACAGAGACCCAGGGACGTCCGTGTCCGTAGATACCGCATCAGGGTGTGTGGAGGTGGGACAGAGTGGGGCAGGGCCCCCCGCTGGCAAGTTCCTTCCCGGAGAGGAGGAGATGTGAGGAGACTGTGGGGGAGGGAGGCTGGGCAGTATTCGGGGATTTTAATGCCTCGGATATCCTGACGGACAGGCTTCCTGCCGGCTCCCCCACCCGCCTGCCCCCAGCACCGTTGCTCACCTCAAAGTGACACCAATCTGTGTCGTACTGGGGGAGCAGACACTCGTCCCCCAGCACCAACCGGTCCAGACGGGAGCAAAGTGGGCCCCACGCGGCAGCGATTCCTTGAGCACCTGCTACACGCAACGTTGTCCTAGGCATGGGACCCAGGACTCCCGACCGACAGGAGGCCTGCCCTCCTGGCTTACGCTCCAGTGCAGAGGAAACAGGACAAACGAGCAAATTAGATTCTGTGTCAGGGGACGATCGTTGCCGGGGCAGAGAAAGGATGGGGCTGTGAGGAGTCGCAGGGGACATGGAGGAGGTGACAGAGGGAGCTGTGGGAAGAGCCTCCCAGGCCTGACAGTTGTTACCTCGAACATTCCAAGAGTTGGACAATGTTGTCCATTTCACAGATGGGGATCGGGACTCAGGTCAAGTGACCTACCCAAGGTGGCGGTGCCAGGAGTCGCTCTCAGGTTCCTGTGCCTCCAAAGCCCGTGCTTCAGGGCCACCCACAGCCCCAGTTTCTTCCTGTGCAAACTGGAGATTAGCATTCCTGTCCTTTGGGCCTGGCGACGTCGGGAGGCCCTGCCATGGTGATGGATGGATTTTGGGAATAGACGGGCTGCCCGCGTGTGAAGTGGGGTCAGCCGTTGGCGTCATGAGTCCTCAGGCTCCGAGAGGTTGGGCCGCCTGCCCAGGGTTGCACAGCTGCAGGTGCTGGAAAGAGGGAATCCCTGGATCCTGTGGCTGAGAGCTTAGGGAGGGCTTCCTGGAGGAGGAGGGCTTGGTGCCAGGCCGGAAGCCTCAGGATCCGGGGAGCCCACTGCAGCACCAGGCCTCTCCCCCCACAGGGACAAGCTGGCGGAGCTCCACGGGAACATGTTTGTAGAAGAATGTGTCAAGTGTAAGATGTGAGTGCCACGTGGGGTGCAGTGGGGTGGGCATGGCGTGGGGACCCCGGCCCGTTTTCTGTCGCCTCTCAGGTCGGGCTGTGCGGAAGGGCCTTGCAAGTCCGAATTCGGGGTGTTGGTGGGGCTGTGCTCCCGCTGGAAACGGGAAGGGGCGTCTTTCCTGCCTCGTCGGGCTTCTGGCGCTTTGCGATACTCCTCGGTGTCCCTTAGCTATAGACGCGTCTCTCCAACCCCCGCCTCTGTTGTCACATGTCCATATCGTCCGCGTGTCCGTGTCTCCCTGTCAGGACACCAGCTGTATCGGACCAGGGCCATCCTCCTCCAGTGTGACCTCACTTTAACCCATTACGTCCACAGTAGTCACGCCCTTCCCAAATAAGGTTGCGTTCTGAAGTGCGGGATGGGGGTTTGGGTGCCACATGTCTTCTCAGGGTGTGACGGGTGTGACCCTACTCTGGGTATGTCTCCCCCTGCTGAAGAACTGGCTGTGGGGGGTCACGGCGCCTCCCGTGTAGGTGGGCTCTCTGAGACCAGAGCACAGGCGGGGTCCCCCACTTGTTATAAAAAAAAAATTTTTTTTCTCCAAGTTTCTTTTGAAAAAATTCAAACCTGTGGAAAGCTTGCAGGATCCTTACGCTGAACTCATACTGGATCAGCAGTCAACAAACTTTCCTGTAGGGGGCCAGATGGTACATATTTTCAGCTCCGTGGGCCAGACTCTGGCACATCCATTGTTGTAGTACAAAAGCCACCATAGATACCATGTAAAGGAATGGACGTGGCCGCGCGCCAATAAAGCTTTATTTACAAAGACACAAGTGGAGGGCCGGATCTGATCCACAGGGCCGTAGTTTGCTGACCCCTGGCTTAGTTTCACCACAATTTGTTTTCCTTGTCTCACTGTGTCACCCATCTTTGTGCTGTGCCAGTCAAGACTGAGTGGCAGCCTTCTTCATCCTTTTCCCCAAAACCCTTAAGTCTCTGTCCCCCTCAAGCTTCAGCGTTCTCTTCCACGGCCGCAGGGCGGCTACCGAGGTTGGGGAATGGGAAGACGGTGCGACATGATGATTCAGTCCCTAGTCCCTATTCCCAGAGCTCCATTTTTGCCCTTTTTTCCTGGCCCCACGTCCAAGCCAGGGTCATGCTTTGCATGCCGTTTTCACGTCTGTTTAGTGCCGCATGCCTGGAACAGCTCCCCCAGGTCCCATTTCCAGTGCTGCGGACGCCGCGAAGCGGCCGGCCCCCCATTTCACGAAGCGCCCCTACCCCCATCCTCACCTCTACCCCCACCCCGGGGTCGTCGGATGGTCCCTTGTGCTTAGATTCCGGTCACTGGGAGAACAGCTTCTCCCAGAGGGAAGACCCCTCTCAGGTGGGGCGTAGGGTGGACTGGCAGTGGGCTGACCACCCCCTTCCCCACAGGCAGTACATCCGGGACACTGTCGTGGGCAGCATGGGCCTCAAGGCCACAGGTCGGCTCTGCACTGCGGCCAAGGCGCGGGGGCTGCGGGCCTGCAGGTGAGTGAGCCCCGAGCCCGGGCCTGGGCAGTGGCAGTCTCCACGCTGATGCCCGCCCCGCCCTCCCCCGCAGGGGCCAGCTGAGGGATACCATCCTGGACTGGGAGGATGCCCTGCCGGACCGGGACCTCACTCTCGCCGACGAGGCCAGCAGGTCTGGCCCCCAGATGAGCCCAGGGCGGGGCGGGCAGGGAGTGGGGCAGAGGCACAGGCAGCTCCGGCACAGGGCACTGGCACGGGACTCAGCTCAGAGGTGGAGTCGGGAGAGGCTTCCTGAAGGAGGCAGCCCACACTCTCTGGGCTTTGCTTTCCCTGTAACAGTGGCAGCTGCTGTGTACTGAGCCTCTCACCCGCCTGGCCCTGGGGTTCTCACCGTGGCCCACGATGGGTGCTGCACTGGGCCCACTGTACAGGCCCATAAACCGAGGCCTCCGCAAGGCGCCTCCTGTCCAGTGCACGCAGCCAGGATGTGACTGAGCTCGGATTCTAGCCAACCACATCAGCTTCTCCCAACCGGGTGGGGAAGTGCCTCCGGCATAAAGGAGGTGGCTGGGGAGGTTCAGGGAGCTTGGCCTCCCAGGACCGACCTGGGCCTCCTGCGTGAGCTCAACAGGGGTAGTGTGGCAGTAGAGTCCCAGGCAGGGCTAAGGTTGGCGGCCCGGCCCCTTAGCCCCGTGAGGCGGGGCGAGGGCTGTGGAGGCCCTTGCAGGAGCACTCGGCCTGACCCAGCTCCTGGCCCCAGGAACGCAGACCTGTCTGTCACGCTGGGCACCTCTCTGCAAATCCGGCCCAGCGGGAACCTGCCCCTTGCCACCAAGCGCCGCGGAGGCCGGCTGGTCATCGTCAACCTTCAGCCCACCAAGCATGTATGTGTGGACAGCCTCCTTCCCCAGGGCCCCAGTGAGCCCTCCGCCTCCGCCTGACCCATCCCCATCCCCCAGGACCGCCAGGCGGACCTGCGTATCCACGGCTACGTGGACGTGGTCATGGCCCAGCTCATGAAACACCTGGGCCTGGAGATCCCCGCCTGGGACGGCCCCCGCGTGCTGGACAAGGCGCTGCCCCCGCTGCCCCGTCCGCCAGCCCCCAAGCTGGAGCCCAAGGAGGAGCCCCCTGCCCAGCTCAATGGCCCAGAGCCCGCCAGTCCCAAGGAGGAGCCCACAGCCGAGTGCCTCGCCCAGCACAACGGCACCGGACCCGCCAGCCTCAAAAGGGAGCTGCTGGACAGTGCTGGCCCACACAGGCCCCTCAAAAGGGTAAAGGCCGAGGTGGTTCCCAGCTGACCAGGGGCCCCAGGGAGAGGGGGCTTTTTGTAGAAACTGTGGATTCGTTTTTTTCTTACCGTTTCTTTCTCACTTTGTCACTTGTCCCTGACCTGGGGGAGACCTCAGGGCGCTGAGATCATGCTCCGGACCTTGGGCAGACTCACCCTCCGTGGGCCCCCTGTGGCTCTAGGGGCCTCTAGGGGGAGGAGTAGCCACACCTTGGACCTTGACCTTGGAGCTGACACTGCAGGCACCTGCTCCTCCCCCTAGCCCCAGCCCCAGCCCCAGCCCCTAACTCAGGACCTTCTGGGAAGGTGTGGCCAGACCTCCTTCAATTTCTGGCCTAAACCAGGGTTAACTTCCCTGCCCTGGCCCTCGCACCCCCAACCCCTGCCTCCCTAAACTGCCTTCACAGTCCCTTCAGGAGGGAAGGGAGCCGGACTTCTTGGTGGGACAGACAGTCGAGGCTCACACTGCCTTTGGAGCGAGAGGGAGAAAGGGGTTCCCCCTGGCTCCCCTCCAGGCTTCCAGAAAAATCTTCGATGCAATAAAAGCAGAACTTCTTGCATCTGAGTCTGTATTTAACGTCCACAACCTCGCGCCAGGGGGCAGGAGTGCGTGGTCCCCTAGTCCCCCTGGGACGTCAGTCTGGGCTTCCTTGCAATTCAGGCCAGGGGGCGAAGGAGGGGCATACCAACAGCTGGCATGAAGCCCTCGGTTTGTAATTATGTACTGATTTGCAGGGTTAAATATTTGCTCTAGCTACTCCAGGAAAGAGGCTGTGTCTTTTGGTCCCAATTGCAGCCCCGGGGGACACCTGCACAAAGCAGCCAGGGAGGGGCCGGGGCGGGGAGAGGCCTAAGACACCCCAGTTGTGACCTTGAGCAGGTCCTTCACTTCTGATGCCTCGGTGTTCTGGTCGGTGAAATGAGCAGCGTGGGCAGCCCAGCCCTCCAGAGAGGCAGCTGTCCAGTCCCTCTGCAGATGCCCTGGAAGGGCTGGGGGGGTCCCCAGAGCCGCGAGGACCTCACGCTCCGCTCACCGCCGCTCTCCAAGGTGCTGAAGGCACACCCGGCACTTTGCTGGCCCCCTTTCCAACCTGGGGTCCCTGCACCTCGCTCACCCATCCCCAGCTAGCTCAACCCCTCGTTCTGAGAGTTGGGGAGCCCCAGACTCCAATTTAGCCCCCACCCCACCCCGCCTACACGCCAACCATATTCTGTCAAAACATTTTATTAAGGATCACAGCAGTCTTAGAAAACGGGGTGGCTGTGGGCCACGGTCGCCCCAAAGTCCGGAGCTCAGCCCATGCTCAGGGGCCAGGGTCCCCGTGGCGTCAGCCGCTTCCTTCTTGTGTGTGGCGGGACAGGGAGGAGTCCCCAGGCAGGGCAGTCGTGAGCCACACTGTGGGTGTCTGCCTGCGTACGTGTCTGCCTGTTTCCTTCTGTGCCTGGGTCTGTGTGTGTGCTTCTCAGGCTCTGGCCCTGTGGCTGCCTTGTGTCTGAGTATCAGTTTCTATGCATATGTCTGGGTCCCTGTGCGTGCATAGCTGTGAGTTCGTGCCTTTCCTTCCTGGCATCTCTGCACAGGTCTCTGCCTCACCTCCGATCCCACGCCTCACTGTCCACTGCAGCACCCACCACAGCGCATCTGGGTGGTGCTCACAGCTCCTCCCCCGCCGCCTCTAGCCCTATGCGCCCAGGGTTGAGCGCTGGCTTAGGCGATGCCCAGTCTAGCAGGCTGGCCCGGCTCAGCTCCTCCGTCAAGTTGCCTGGGACCAGGGTGGAGTTGTCCAGCTCTTCCGTCGAGGTGTCCAGAGCCAGCATGTCCCGGGAGTCCCAGTCCACCTTGGGGCTTCCTGGAGACCCTCCCTGGGGTGCACCAGCCTCAGACTGGAGTCCTGGATCCTCAGAACCTGGATTGGTGTCGAGGGCCACGCGGGAAGCAGCGTCGTTGTGCAGGGTTCTGGAGAAAACTGAGCAAGGGTTGGGGGTTCGTGAGGGATGGGGTCGGGGAGCTGGGGTTTCCTCTTTCCTTAGCACCCAGCCTCAGGGAGCAGTTGCAAGAGGACCCTTCCCCTCCCCCAGAGGCACAGCGTGGGGACTTGCACCCACGATGCAGCCCAGGGGGGTTTTGAAGGCCAAGCGGCTTCAGCCCACCTACCTCGCACAGGCGTGAAGTCTCCGGGGCTCTCGGCTTTGTTGGAGGCAAATGGGCTGATGGAGGGGAGGACGATGAGGGCGAAAGAAAGCAGCAGAACCTGCGGAGACGGGGGAGGTGTCGCCTCGTTCCCCCCGCCCCGTGAGCATATGCCCGTTCCGTAGGCAGGGACACTGAGGCCCAGAAGACTGGATCATCCTGGAGCTGGGGCTCCAGCCACGCTGCTTGCACTCATCTCCCCGCTTCCCGCAGGCTCCTCTGCCGAGGCCGAGCACCCCCTTCATCCCGGGGACCATCAGAGCTGGGGGTAGGACTCACCGCTATGCAGGTGCCCGCCTGGGCCGACTTGCTGGTGGACTGGACGACAATGGCCTGGAGTTTCTTCAGCTGCTCCAAGAGGGACCTTGGCGGAAGTGGACAGCCTTGGCTGAACCCCGCAGGGCCTTGGTCTGGCCCCCTGTCTGTCTCTAGAGTCCCCCAGCATGGCTGACGTCTGGATATTGTCCTTCCCTCAAGACCCTGCTGCTCGTACAAGTCCTAGAACACCCCTCTTCGCTTCCGTAAATCCCCGCTGACCTCTCACCCCACTCTCTGCCACCCCCTCCCCATCCAGGCTTCATGACTGCTCACCTGGCCACTAGCCCCAGCTTCCTCTCTGGTCTCCCCCAGGCCTCTCCCGCCCCTGCAGGCTTTATGTTCCACAAGGTGGCCGGTGGCCGGGGGCACCTTTCAAATGTCAGCTGGCATTCTCAGGGCTCCCACCTCCCTCGGGGGAA